ACAGTACCCGCGTGCACCGCAGCGCCTGTGTACACCACACCGCCGATGTACACCACAGCAGCCGCGTGCAACACAGCGTCAGTTTGTGCCACCGTGCCTGCGGGCACAGCAGCTCCTGCGTACACCACAGCGCCTCCGTACCCCACATCAGCCGTGCGCAACACAACACCAGTGTACACCACAATGCCTGCGTGCATTGCCGTGCCTGTGTACGCCACGGCGCCTGTGTGCACCACATCAACCGTGTGCAACACAGCACCATTGTTGTGCATAGAATATCAGAAGGGATCCTTGTGACAAAATTGAGCGCGTGTGGATTCCAGAGAAAACAATGGAAAACAAATCCTCATGGACAAGGGAGCGCCGCTGGAATCTACGAGTCCCCCCGAGTCCGCCCGCATCACCCTAACTCCCATTTGCGTCCAGGAGGCTCCAGCTAAACTGGCCGTCCGAGAACCAAGTGGACCGACCGATTCAATCGACCATTCTGCGGTGCACGCTGAGATGCGCACGTGCGTTGTAACGCCAAGCCGCACGACAGGGGGTAAGAAGGAGGAAAAGGAGGAGGAGGAGGAGGTGGAGGAGGAGGGAGGCAGGAAAAATGTCGTATTCGATTCTCAGAACTTTCCTGGCGTGGCGTTTAGTTGTCCGCAGCAGATCCTGACGTACATGTTCCTTCTACCTGTCCTGTGCACGCAGGCACTGTGGTGTACACCGGCGCTGCGTTGCACGCGGATGCTGTTGTGTAGACAGGCGCTGTGGCGTGCACAGGCGCTGCGGTGCACGCAAGCACTGTGGTGTACACAGGCGTTGTGTTGCACATGGCTGCTGCGGTGTATGTACACCGGCGCTGTAGTGCTCCCAAGTATTGTGGTATACACGGGCGGTGCATTGCACACGGCTGTTGCGGTGTACGCAGGCGCTGTGGTGCACATGCGCGGTGTGGTGCACGCGAGCGTTGTGGTGCACACAGGCGCAATGGGCAGATCGCCACTTACATGCTGCTCGTGCGCGCGGGCGCGGCTGTGGTGCCGGAGCCACTCGGCGGGGGGGGGGCGTCACGTCATACCCCCCCCCGCCCTCCCCCCCCCCCCCATGACGCCCGTTATCGCCGAACATAAAGAAACGCGCTCATGGTGATGGTAATGGTGATGATGTTCGTGATTGTGATGATGACGACTGCGGCGACGGCGACGATGATGATGATGCTGTGCAGCTGCGGATGATAATGATGAGGGTGGTGGTGGTGGCGATGACGATGGCGGTGGTGATGGTGACGATGATGATAATGGTGATGATGATGACGGCGACGCCGGCGTCGACGATGACGATGATTATGATGATGATATTGGTGAGGGCGATGATGATACTGATGCTGCTGATGATGATGCTGATGATGCTGGTGATGATGATGCTGGTGATGATGATTGATGATATTGATGATGCTGCTGTTGTTGGTGATGATGATGATGACGCTGGTGGTTGTGGTGTCTATTGTTGAGGTGGTTGTGGTGATGATAATGGTAATGGTGATCATGATGCCGATGATGATGCTGTTGCTGCTGATGACGGTGATGATGCTGATAAGGATGCTGCTAATGATGATGATGCTGCTGATGACGATGATGATGATGATGCTGACGCTGATGATGATGATGCTGATGCTGATGCTGATGATGATGTTGAAGAGGAGGGGACGGGGGATGATGATGATGCTGATGTTGATGCTGATGATGATGGTCATGGTGATGACGATGACGATGACGATCTCGAGGATGATACTAATGCTGACGATGATGATAGTAATGCTGATGATGATCCTGATGTCGATGATGAGCTTGATGCTGATAATGATCGCACAGATCATGATGCTGATGATGGTCATGATGCTGCTGATGATGATAACGATGGTGCTTATGATGACGATGTTGCTGATGATGATGGTGACGATGTTGCTAGTGATGAAACGATGATGATGCTGCTGATGATGATGCTGATGATGGTGCTGGTGATGATGCTGTTGATGCTGCTGATGCTGAGGATGATGAGGATGCTGCTGCTGCTGATGCTGACGATGATGATGCTCATCATGCTGATGCTGATGGCGATGATCCTGATGATGATAATGATGATGATGACGATGATGATGATGCTGTTGTTGATGATGATGTTGATGGTGCTGATGTTGATGCTGATGATGATGATGCTGATGATGGTGGTGATGATGCTGATGCTGCAGATGTTGCTGATGCTGATGATGATGCTGTTGATGATGCTGATGATGATGATGATCATGAGGATGATGATGATTATGATGATGCTGCTGATGATGATGTTGATGATACTGATGATGATGGCAATGATGATGATGATGATGCTGCCGATGATGATGTTGATGATGATTATGATGATGCTGATGATGATGATGCTGATGATGATGATGACGATGATGATGATGATGATGATGATGATGATGATGATGATGATGATGATGATGATGATGATGATGATGATGATGATGATGATGATGATGATGATGCTGATGCTGATGATGATCATGATGCGGCTGCTGTTGATACTGCTGATGAGGAGTATGCGTATGGAGGGACAGGATGAGAACTAGGAGGACGTGCCCAAGGTCTTCCACCACATGCACGCCGCGGGGGCCGAGGCGACCAACAACATGTACAACGCGCTCATGGGAGCCTGTGCGAAGAAGGTGAGCGCCGCGCGGGGCCCCATGGGGTCGGTGCCCGGACGATGGGCGAGCGGGGATGACGGGGAGGAGGAGGAGGAGGAGGAGGAGGAGGAGAGAGGAGGAGGGGAGGAGGAGGAGAGGAGGAGGAGGAGGAGAGGAGAGGAGGAGGAGGAGGAGGAGGCGGAGGCGGAGGAGGAGGAGGAGGAGGAGGAGGAGGAGGAGGAGGAGGAGGAAAAGGAGGAGCGGAGGAGGAGGAAGCGGAGGCGGAGGCGGAGGAGGAGGAGGAGGAGGAGGAGGAGGAGGCGAAGGAGGAGGAGGAGGAGGAAGGAGGAGGCGAAGGAGGAGGAGGAAGAGGAGGAGGAGGAGGAGGAGGAGGAGGAGGAGGAGGAGGGGGACGGTCACGGCGCGACGACGACGATATTGTTGATGATGATATTGATGAGGATGGCAATGATGATGACGATGCTGATGATGCTTATGGTGATGACCACGTTGGTGATGATGCTGGTGGCATTGTTGCTGACGGTGAGGATGCAAGTGATAATGGCGGTACTGATCATGATAGTGTGGTTCACGGCGGTGACGACGACGGCGATGCTGTTAATGGCGAAGGTAATGCGGGTGATGATGGTGATGATGCGGATGACGATGACGATAATGATGCTGCTGACGATGATGGCGACGTGGGATATGATGATGGTGATGACGATAATGACGATGACGAGGAAGGAGGAATGAGGGAGGAGGGAGGGAGGGAGGGCGGGAGGGGCGGGAGGGCGGAGGGCGGGAGGCGGGGGGGGAAGGTGGGAGGGCGGGAGGGCGGGCGGGCGGGCGGGCGGGCGGGGGCGGGTGGGGAGGAGGAGGAGGATCAGGAGGAGGAGGAGGCGGGGGAGGAGGAGGAGGAGGAGGAGGAGGAGGAGGAGGAGGAGGCGGAGGAGGAGGAGTAGGAGGAGGACGAAAACTAATAGTAATCATACCAAACATCAGCATAATGATAATGATACTACTAATAAGGATATTAAGAAGACGAAGAAAACGAATAAGACGAATATCAGTAATCATAAGAAGAATAAGACGAGGAATACGACTGATATTGACACTAACAAGCTAATACTAAGAAGCATAAAGAGTAAAACTAATTATAATAAGAATAATAATAATACGAAGAAGACAAGGAGGAGGAGGTGGAGGAGGTGGAGGAGGAAGAGGTGGGGGAGGAGGTGGGCCCGCCCATTGAAGACTGCAGGCCGCCTTGCAGACAGCCAGCAGGCACTTCTGAGCACCCCGGGGGGCCCTGGCCATTGCTGCGCAAGGGGCAGCGAGCCGAGGGGGGGAGTGAGAAGGGGCGGGCCCTTTCAGACGGCTCGGAAGTCCCCCGGCCGTCTGGGAAGTTGTCGAAGCCTTCCCCGAAGGCGCAGGAAGCCTCTCAGAAGGCCGGAGGCCTTTTGAGAAATCCCGCAGCCTTCTGAAAAAGGCCTTCTCTTTCCCACTTTCCCCCCTTGCTCGCCGCTGAAAGGGGCAGCGAGGCGAGGGGAAGTGCGGCCAGGAACCCGTGCGGAGCGTGCCGCGTCGCGGGGTTTGGCCCACCACGCCTCGGATTGATGCGCTGACCACCTCCTGGTCCCCCAAAAAGGTCAACGCCCCGGGCTCTTCCCGACCCCCCCGCCGCCCTTCGGAGCGGAGCGACGCGGTGTCAGCCCGCAGGGCGCAGCGTGTCGCCGGGGCCGCCGCCGCCGCGGTGCGCCAAGCAGAAGTTCTTGACCGTCAGCAGAGGCCTAGAAAGCCAACGTTCCGAGCAAATTGGGGCGGGCGGTTTTTGGCCGTTTTCGGCTTCGGGGGGCGCTTCCCGGGCCTCGGGAGCGCCAAGCAACGATTCAGGACGAAAAGCCGGCCCTGGGGAAGTGGTCCGGGCCTGTGGGGCCCACGCACCAAACCTAGAGCAACCCGATGTTTGGGGGAAGCCTGAATCGGGCTTGCTGCCATCAGCGCGGCGGCGGATTCGGGGCTACCGGCTAACCCGGAGCTACCGTCGTCGTCGTCGTCGCCGACACCCCGTTCGTAGTCCGTTTCCATTCTTGCTTCGCGGGTGCTGCGGTCGCCGCAGTGTGAGATGCAGCTGGCCCAGTGGACGTTTGTTCGATTTCGAGTCTGGCACCGTCCAGGCACCCATGTTGGCTTGAAGGCGTGTCCCAGGACTTCGTGTATGAGACTTCCAGACGCTGGCATTTGGCAGCGTCCATGGATATATCCCCAGGATGATCAGCTCAACGGCATCGGCACCCTAGGACCAAGGATCCCTGTCAGCAAACCATTCGACGGCTCAAAGCGGGCATTTTTTGCCGAGCATCTGAAGTCCACCATCCAGGATGAGCATGTGGCGGGGTTGGACTGGAGCAACGCAGTCCTCACTTGTGGATCCACGTGCAGGGTACGGTCTGACGCAGGCTGTGTACGATGGGCTGATGGGGCATCGCGTGAAGGACAATCACGTCTTCACCGCAAGGATGTGTGCCGCATCGCGCTGTCTGGAGAGCTCGAGGCGAGACCGGCTCTTCGCAGACCCTGTGAGTGAGCTCCTGGCGGGCTGGGAGGGGATGGAGGCACCCATGGGAAGCTGGATACTCATCCCACGAACAAGTTACGGCGATGGCGTTCTCCAGAGGGCCTACCACACCGACGCCCGCACCGCGGCTCGGCAGCTGGTGCTGCTGGGCGCCGGCATGGACTCGCGCGCCTACAGGCCGGAGCTGAACGTGCCAGAGCTCAGGGTCTTCGAGGTGGACCACGGCGAGAACTTCCGGGTGAAGGAGGCCATCCTGCAGCACCCCGCCGTGCAGGCCGCCTTCCCCCTCGCGGTCGCGTCGCGCCAGGTGGTGAGCACAGATTTCGCAGAGGCTGGCCAGGCAGAGGACTGCCAGCCCCGCTGGGCTCGTGACCTGTGCGCGGCGGGGTTCGACCCAGGGGTTCCCAGCGTCTGGCTCCTGGAAGGCCCGCGGAGGGAGGGGGGCGGGCAGGAGCGGGAGGGAGGAGGAAGGAGCAGGAGGAGCAGGAGGAGCAGAAGGAGGAAGAGGAGGAGCAGGAGGAGGAGGAAGAGGAGGAGGGATAGGATGACACCGCCGCTCGAGGCTAGGAGAATGAATGGACTTCGCTCGAAGCGATTCTTTCTGAACCAAATAGCCCAGGTCCACACACACATGAACAGTCTACGATGAAGAGGAGCTCCAAGAAAACGCCCAGGGTCCAGTCCAGGTTCTTGATCTTCTTAAGCGAAATCCGGAGCCCACGACATTGTATATTTTTTCTCGAGATTTCTGATCAGTGTAGCGGACGAAGGGCGGTGTGTCATACTCTTCTCCATTGTTTGGGGTACCTGTTCCAGGGCAGTTGGGCAGAACATACCCCGACGTGCCACCATCGGTGTATGAATTTTCCAGTCGCGCTGGGACAGGCGTCCCCAACATGGGAAACACTTGTTCTTGACGCTTCGCGCATCCCCACCAGCTTGGCCGTAGTTTAGTCCTTCGTGCGATTCTATGACGCCGTGCGGGTCTCCCGCTTGCGGTTGCGAACAACAAATCATCTCCACCAGCCCATCCCGAAAGGATGCCCAGGCAGTTGTTTGGAGGAGGGGCGTAGGTCAGAATGTCGGTTAGATGCCTCGGGGAGCCTTTTGGGGCCATCATGGGGCCATTTTGAAGGTATCTTGGGGCTTTCTTGGAGCCATCTTGAGGCCCCCTTGGGATCTCCTGGGGCCCTCCTTGGAGGTCTTCAGGGGCCTCTTGGGGCCATCTTGGGGGCCATCGATCACAAAGGGCTCTCTTGAGCCATCCTGGGGCACTCTTGCGGCTGCAGAGGCCCGTTGGAAGCGAAATGACGAGAATGCACACGTCATGCTACCCAAGGTTTTGAACTGACTTTGGCCTCTCGGTGGGTGTCTTGGAGGTCTCTGAAGGCACTTGGAACTGTTTTGGGGCTGCCTTGGAGGATCTTGAAGGTATGTCGGAAGCGATCCTGGGCCATCTTGAAGTCTTGAAGTATACTGGGCTTTTTTTGGAGGCCGTCTTGGGTTGTCTTGGGCTCTCTTGGGGCTACACTGGGCCCATCGGGCCGTCTTGGACGCTCCAATCGGTCCGCACCCCACCGTCCAGACCAGCGGGGAGGGGGAGGGGGAGGGGTCAAGGGGTCAAGCTACCCACGAGCAGCAAGCCATCTCGCTCATTCCCACCCGCCCTCCCAGCACATACGTAGCACTCGGGCCTCGGCTTGCCGAGAGGCCGCCGCCGACAACCACCTGGGAACAGGTGCGGACGCCGGCCAGGTGTGCGCAGCCCTCGAGGTGCGCCGTACCTGCCCGCTGTGCCGCGCGCACCAGGCCCGCCACCTTGGGCCATAGGTCCGCCCTCCCACCGGCCCCGTCAGGAGCCGGTGCAGAGTGACGGCGGGCCCGTCGCGTGCGGATGTGCACCCACGATCGCTTCGCATTGGTCTGCTGGGCCCGCGCGCAGCAGGCAGTCTGCCGCCCCCCCCCCGCCGTCCCTGGCGAAAGGAGCCGGTCTTTCTGGCCCCTGTGACAGGGATGGTGGTGGGCCCGCGCGCATCAGGCAGTCGGCCGGCGCCCCCCCGCCACCCATGGCAAACACCAGTGCAGTGTGAGCGCGAGGCGTCCGCGCATCCTCCAGATTATGGTGCGAAGTGCAGTTGGCACTGTGTTTTAGGAGGGGTTGCTGCGGGGGGGTGGCATTGCACACAGCAGGCGCTATGCAGCGCCCACCCGCCGTCCCTGGCAAAAGCCCATGGTGCGTCACCGCGGGGCGTCCGCAAAACGATCCAGATCTTGGTGCAATGTGTGCTTCGTCTGGGTTTTGTGCAACGGGTGGTGGGGGGAAGTTGGCCTGCGCGCAGGCACCCCCGTCGTCCTTGTCAAAAACCACTGCGAAGTGGTCGCGGGGCGCCCGCGCATGCTCCAGATTTGGACGCACATTGTATTTTGTATTGTTGTTGGCCGTCTCCCTGCCAAAGAAAACGATCGGAGTGCCCGCGAGCCCCCCAGACATGACCAAACCTTTTGCTGCAGCATGAACTTTCCATTGTTTTTGTTTACAGGGCAGGCGGGCGGGAGGGGTTGTGCAAGGCTTGTCTCTGGTCGGGTGGGGGAGGGGGACTGCATTCTTACAGTGTTAAAACCACCCCCAGCCGCAAGCCGTGTCGCTCACTCCCACCCGCCCTCCCAACACATGGGGAGCATTCTAGCCTGAGGCCCCGATCCCACGGAGTTCGTGAGTCCCGTCGGGTCACCGAGCATACCTTATGAGGGCACCCCAGCCGTCCTTTGTCAAAACCTCTAGGCCTCCTAGATGGGGTCGGAGTAGATGCGGTCGGAGCATCGCGCCGCATCGCCGATGCATCGGCGATGCGGCTCGATGTGGGGCCCGATCTGCTTCACGTCGGCGTCGCCGATGCATCGCTAGTGCATCGTCGATGCATCGTTGGTGCATCGTCGATGTATGTCGATGCATCGCCGATGCATCTTCGATGTATCGGCCATGCGGCGCGATCCTCCGAGCCCATCTACTCCGACCCCATTTGGGAGGCTTCTAAAAACCAATGCAACAAGATCGCGGGGCGTCCGCGCATCAACCAGCTTTTTCCAAAGTGTGCTTTTGTACTGTTTGTTGAGAGGGATTGTGGATCTGCGCGGAGCGGGCACCGCCGCCGTCCGCGTCAAGAGCACTGCAGAGCACTCACACGGGGCGCCCGCGTGCGGTCCAGATGTTGCCGCAATGTGCATTCTGGTGGGAGGAGGAGGGAGGAGGAGGCGGAGGAGGAGGAGGAGGAGGAGGAGGAGGAGGAGGAGGAGGAGGAGGAGGAGGAGGAGGAGTTGCCTCGGAGTTGCCTGACACCCACAGAAGGTGGGAGGAGGAGGAGGAGGAGGAGGAGGAGGAGAGGAGGAGGAGGAGGAGGAGGAGGAGAGAGAGGAGGAGAAGGAGGAAGGGGAAGGAGGAGGAGGGGGGGAGGAGGAGGGAGGGAGGAGAGGAGGAGTAGGGAAAGGAAGAGGAACTGGAGGAGGAGGAGGAGTAGGAGGAGGAGGAGGAGGAGGAGGAGGAGGAGGAGGAGGAGGAGGAGGAGGAGTTGACGGGGAAGTATTACCAACAAGGGGTGCTGCTTAAGCTGCCCTCTCGAAGGACGGCTGGTCCCGCTCACTCCCACTCGCCCTGCCACTGCAAGAGTAATTAGCGCTCGAGTCTCAGTGTAGGCATGGGCCTGCGAGGTGTGCCGCATATGCCAGTGCAACCCCGTCTTCTGGGCGATCGCAAACATGGATCAAGGGGGCGTGGATTAGCGACGGTTCTTGCTTCCATGGGAAATCGCGGGCTTCCGCCGCCGAGCGAGGCGGCACCGGCCGCATTCTTGGGAGAACGCCTCCCCCGATCCATGGATTTGGCGACCGCGCTCCAAATCCATGGACCGCTAATCCATGCTTGCGCGCACCCGGAAAATCACAGTGCAACGTGATCAGGGGGTGCCCGCGCATGATCGTTGTCGGAATGTGTATGTCGGACTGCTTTTTGACACAGTCGTCGATCCCTAGGAAGATATGGGAAAATATGGGAAGTGGGGGGGAAGACGAAAACCGGGAAACTACGAACAAAAACTATAGGGGAATCCTGTCACTCGTGTGTACTTATTTGTGTGCCCCAGGGCCCATTTTAGTGATGGGTCTGCGCGTTGCAGGCAAGTGCTGGCCCCACTTCCTCCGTCAAGAACAGCTGCAGCGTGACCGCCCGGTGCCCGCGCGCGATGCAGATTTTCTGCTGCCGCAGCGTGCGCTCCGACTCGTCTTTGGGGTAGGGACTGCGGGCGGGGGTCTTGTCATGCCTCCAGGCTCGCGCCCGGTCAGGTTGCCAGGGGGTGTAACGCGGGATGACGATTAATAAAAAAATGAGAGAACGAATACAAAACATGTTGTTCTGCTATTCCTGCATAATTTTCTGACTGGAGGAGAACGATACAAACTAGTTTTCCAGCCCGCGGCCGGTTTTTTCTAATCGTCATCCCGGGCGCCGCCGCGTGAACACGACCCCCGGTCATTTATTAATCGTCATCATCCATTATACACGGTTCATATCTAATTCTTGGAAAATGCTATGATTTTTGTTTGGGTGCCACGATCCTTTCATTTCTGACTGTTCTATCCTGGGCCTCTTCCTGGCCACTCGGGGGCCAGGAACAATCAGAAACGAGCACGGTTAGAAATGAGCACGATTAGAAATGAACGACGTGTACATCAATAAGGAGCAGTGATGGCCCCCCGAAGGGGGGTAGGATGGTTTCTGGAAGAAGGGAAAGAAGAAGGGAAAGAAGAACTCGTCATGCCACCTCCGTCCGCCGAGGCGGGGGAGGGAGGAGGCCGGAGCAGGGGAGGAGGACGGAGAGCCGTCGAAGGCTTGATGATGTACCTCACCGTGCCTCAGCAGACGCGGCTGGCGCGCACGATCGGGCAGCTCAGCTGCCCCGGCTCCGTGGTTTTTCACGATGCCATCTCGGCTTCGTACGTCAGCAAGCGCATCTCCGTGGCAGGGGCGCCCTTCGTCGGCGGCCTCAACGACTACCTGGGCTTCTGGAGGCAGCAGGGGGGCTTCTCGGGGGAGCAGGGCGCCGTTCGGAGCGTCAACGACCTGCGGGTGGACCGGTGGCACGGGCGGCTGAACGTCTGGCCGCCGAGGAACGACGAGGTGGTAGGAGCATGCGCGCGAGGGGAGGACGTGACGATGTTCGTGGAGGCATGGAAGTAGGGGGCCAGCACCTCTCTTCATGGCCGACGGCTAACCCAGGAATGGAAGGTGATGCTTTTCATGGTCCCCAGCCTGACCCGGTCTGGGTCAGCCAGCCTCGGGCTGCTTCAAGATTCCTGCTCCAGGTGCGCCGACATGAGAGGCGGTGCAGCCTATCGTCCCCACTTGCTTTCGGAGTCTCGCAACTCCATGTTGAGACATGTGTAGTGCGACCCTGCAGGTTCTGACATGCCCCCCAGGTAGTGGGCGCAGTCGCTCAATACTTTGTTATCGCCAGCATCCATTATCCATCAACTCAGCCGCATACCTCTCTGCATAGCTCGGCCACGCGCAGAGGAAGGTATGGGGGAGGGGGAAGGCTTCTTAGAAGCACGCCTGCTTCTTGGAAGGCGGGGGCCCTGTGTCTGTAGATGTGAGGCCCGCGCCTTCTAAGAAGCAGCCGCCTTCTGAGAGGCCTTCCCCCCCCCCCCTCCCCCCCCCTGCGCGCTGCCGAATATCCTTGGCCGGGGGAAGAGTTTCCGGTTCCCCCATCAGAAACCCCAGATGTCTGCCCTGCACCCGCCTCCCCCCCACGAGCTCTGAGTGTTCCGTTCCGGGAGCCTCCCGGGTGGCTCAGGTGTACGCCAGGGGCTCCCAGGAGGGGTCCACAAGAGGATGTCAAGAGAACCTCAGAGGGCCCAAGGAGGTCCAACATGACCTGGAGACAAGCTGACAAGCTAGAATAATGGCCCAAGAGGACCCCCAGGCGGCCAACATATATCAAAAACCATCGGAATCCTTGACGCTTCGTGTATCCCTGTCAGCCTATCCAGAAACTATGCCCATGTGGTTTACATTGATCAGGGAAGTGCAGGAACAGACAGTGAAATAATGAGGGGGACAGCCTTTGAACCGACGCTCGGGATCAGCCTGAGCATATCCAGGAGTCGAACATACATGTCTTCGCGGATCTTTCGATATGGGAGTCTTGGAGACTTATCATTTGGGTCATCTTGGGATTATCCCAGGGCCATTTTGAAAGCCTTTGAGGCTCTGGTGGTGTGCTCTTGGGGTTCTGTTGGGGCCGCCTTGTTGGGCCCCCCTCGGAGACCTTAGGAACGCTCTTGGGGCCATCTAGGAGGACATCGATCAAACGAGGGCGGCGATAATGGTCCCCCCCCCCGTCGGAGCCCGACGACTCGCCTATTGGATTTCTTTTTGGCCCATCTTGGGCCATCCGATGCAATGTTGGAAGCCATCGTGGGCTATCTGGGGGCATCCACGAGCCATCTTCACCCAAAAGCCTTCCAAGGATTCCCCCGGATCGGCCCAAACTGGTGAAACCAGCTGTCTTTTTTTTGATTCGGGCTTTGAGCGAATGGGCGGCACTACTAAAGGCCCTCCCCGTCGGAGCCCACAGAGTCGCCTCCAGGAGCTCTCTGGGGACGCTCCGGGCGATCTTCGGGCCGCCTGGGAGCGCTTCTTGGCTTCTCTTGGGGCTGTCTTGGGCGGCCTTCTCTGGATGCCTCATAAGCCCAGCGTAGGCGAAAGGGCGATAATGCTGGGCTCACGGAAGGCCATTCGGTTTTTGAAGGGTTTGGGCCTCTCGGGGGTGTCCTGGGGAGGCTCAGTGGCCACCCGGACCCGTCATGGGGTAGTCGTGGGCCTTCCTCAAGGCATCCTGGAAATCATCTTAAGCCAACCTGGACCATCTTGCGCCATCTAGGAGGCAATATCTAGGCGTCTGGGTCCATCCTGGAGCCATCTAGGCCCCCCAACCGTCCCAAGGATGCCCCCCGAGAGCATTCAAGAACTTGTGGCGTTTTCGATGAGTCTGCTCATGAACAGAGGGCGGCGTTCAGTCGGATCCCCGTTGGGGCCCAACCAGTGTGGTTGAATTTTCTGTTCATTCGGGTTGAGGGCGAGGGCTTTCAAATATGACCACACCCCGACGTCTTTGCCAAAAGCACTGCAGAGTGCTCGCGGGGGCCCGCTCGGGATCCAGATTTTGCCGCCACGTGGGGTGTGGG